CAGTCGCATGTCCCCACACACTGCACAAAACAACAGGAGAGCAGTGGTGATCTCATGATGGCACAGCCCAAGGGGGATCCTTGGCGCTTTGTTAACCCAGCAAAGAGCTGGGAGCTGAAGCCAGGCTCACGGCAGGTTTCTAAGTATGGTTTCTGACTGCTGGAACAGGACTCACAAGGAGGCAGTGTCTCCACCACACTGCAGTGAGGTATCCTAAAAGCTCTGCTCTTGCTCAGCACAGGTGATGGGCTGGGGACAGGAGCCCTGGGGGAGCTCTGGCCTGTGCTTTGCAGAGGTCAGACCAGGTGATGACAGTCAGGCCTTTATTCAGGAGGTTGGGCTGTTGCTGTCCTGCATGATACTGTACCTTCAGCAAGCCAACCCCAGGCAGTACCTGATCCCCAAGCCAGCCTTTGGAGCATTACTGAAGCAGAAGGAAATGGCCTGTGCTGCCAGCAGTGTTAGGAGCAGCCTCAATGGGAGCACAGAGGTGGGTGTCTCCAAGCTGTATGAGGTGTTTTGTGCCTTTGGGTATCAGCAGGAAACAGTCCCTGCTGTCCCCTGTGTGCTTGCAGCTACACCAGCCCCAACTTTTCTATTGTGCAGGCCAAATCCTGCCTCTGTTCCCTCCTCTAGAATAGGGGTAGCACGACTTGATCTGCTCTGGAGTCAGCAAGGTATAGCAGCACCTCTATGGGACTGTGCAGCACTAGGGCGTGGGGGTGGGGGCAGGAAGGGGCCCCATCCACTGCAATTCCTGAATGCGTGAAGATGGCTCCATTCAGCTGGAGGGTGCACACGTGCAGCTGAGGCCACTGTCCCCTGCACTGGCTGAGCAGCGCAGAGCTGTGCGCCGCGGCTGCTGTTTGTGTTTGTGCTCCCAGTGTTTGTATTTACATTTGGGAATGCCTCTGGGAGCCATTCCTGGGGCTGGAATAACACGTTCTGGCCCTGGTATTTGAGCCCTTGGACGGCCCTGGTGGAAGTGCTAGGACAGGGTCACATTCCATGGTCCGCTGACCTCCCAGACCAACCCTAATGGTTCCCCGGGGCATTCCCAATGCCCAGGAGCAGCACAGATGCGGTCCCAAGCAGTAGCTTTATTTATGCTCAGCCTACTTCTGCCACAGTTGCCTGTAGCCTGCTCCCTGCCGAACCTGGAGGCATAGCACCAGAATAGCTTCTGCCCTGTGTGCAAGGAGAGGCCAGAGCACCCACCACGGCCAAACCACAAGAATATGAGCAGCTCGGCCACACAGCACTCACGAGGCAAGAACTGCGAGCAAGGAGAGCTCATCCGCCCTTCGCTTGGAACGGCTGCCAAACAAAAGCCAAGGGCATCTTGGCACCCTTGCTCTGCCTTGTCGTCACCTACTAGGTGACCAACAAGTGCTGAGCAGGGTGTTTTAAGAGTCAGAACAGTCACTGGAAAGATTTTAAGCAAACAGTGATGTTATAACAGAAACTCAGAGGAGCCCTGAATCCAGAGGCAAGAAGGGATGGATCTGACTGTTGCCATAACACAGAGCAGTTTCACCAGCGCACATTTTACTTCCACTGCTGGGCTGCCTGACAGCTAAAGCCAGGACATGTCAAACAATATAGCTAAAACAAGAGCCACATCCTGACATATCTGGACAGCATGGAGGAAGTAACTCCTGCCTCCACTTCATGTACTACTGTGCTGAGGCCACTGTGTCTGCCTGACCAACGCACCCCACCCTCATTGCTTACTTCTTGCCTTTTCTGACATGGCTATTGCTTTGTTCTTGGTACCCCCCAGCTAGGGAGGAGCTCCTTGTAAACACCCACAAAGCTGCTCTCCTTGTCTTCCTTGAAATCCCTCTGTAGGCCTCCTCTGCTATGATGCCTATAGTCCGAGTGTGGGTTGTACTTAGAGCACTGCCTCTTGCCAGGACCTATTTTTTTCTTGCTGTTTCCCTGTTCCCTCATCTATCTGATGCTATCTCTCTGCCATCTTCTGTCTTATACACAGGACAGACACTGCCTTCGTGTTCTGTGTCTGTACAGTGCCTAGCACACAATGGGGTACTGGACCAGGACTAGGCTTTTACATGCCAAGGTATTATTAGAGTGAATGGCATACAGGGCCTACTTTTGTGGATGTCGGAGCTGGTTTCTTCTGAAAATGTGGCTAATAAAAGGCATTTATTGGGATAACCATATAGAAGTTTCTGTATTGGCTAAAATCTGGAGGGGGGCATACTGTGCCTGCCAGAGCAGATTGGAGCAAGGGTTCAGGTGAGCTGGTAGAAGCTTTGGGTGAAGTGCACAGAAGGGGGTAGGGATGCTGCATCCCACATGCTTTTTACCTGGTTTCTAATGGTGTTCAGCTTGAGCCCTGATGCACTAGCCTTAATATGCTCGCTAAACAGTTTATTATTTGTAATTTTGATAACATTGGTATTATCTAGTACTTAGAGCAATGGGCTAGGAAGGGGACACAAGGCCTGGCTCATCCCCTAGATGGTGCCACTGAGTTCCTTAAGTCACTGCCCTCCTCTGTGCCTCAGGGTCTCCATCTGTAAAATGGGGATAATGAACTTGACCCACCTGTGTGAAGTGCTTTGGATGGAAGCTACTATAGAAGGGTGAATCTTCCTCCTACCCTACTCCACTTAGAGGACATGTGCTCTACACCTCTGTCTCGCTGGGCTTCAGGTGCCACAGGTACGAAACAGGAATTGCAGTGAGGGGGAATGCTCCCACTCAGAGGCGGTGTCCAGGGCAGCTGCCTGCATAGACCGAGGGGGGAACATCTATCACCCCAGGGGGGTCTCTGACAGTAGGCGTTTCTAACCCTAACGCACCTTGTAGCCAGCTCTAATCCCATCGGCACATGAGAGTTACTGAATAAGTAACTCCAGCCCTGGAGTACAAATCCCCAAGGAGATGGCTGGAGGATGTGGTGTGGCACAGCAAAAGAACTGGAATTTATTCAGGACTGAACAGAGGCAGGCCATGTTTGCACTCTGGCAGCAGTGGGGCCTGGTGAGGACAGGACTGAGTATTCCCTGCCCACCTGAGTCCTCAGCCATGCTCCAACGCTGGCTGTTCTGGGTTTACCCCGCTACATCTGTTCTTGAGCCCTTTGTCTCTGATGCAGTCGCTGCAGCTGAGCCCAGAGCAGCCTCACTTCTGGGCTTCGAGAGTCCCTGTGAGCATGTTGGTGGGGGTGTGCTGAGCCCCTGGCACAACAGCTCACTGCTGCTGCAGTGCAGACGAGCACTTGGGTACATCAGAGCAGGACCGATGTGACCAGCATTGTCTGGTGCTAGCCAGTAGGAAATACTGAGGACTGTGGAAGGGTAGTAGGGAGGAGATGGAGATCATGCCCTTCTCCTGGATGTAGGCACCTGAGAGCTCTCCATCCATTTGGGATTCACAGCCCCAGGCCCGGGGCTGAAGGTCAGTTCCTGTGAGCTTTCTTTACAGAATGAAGCAAGGGTTGTACCTTTCTTTTCAAGTACAACTACCAAAGGATAAAGAATGAGTGTATGTTCTTGACCCAGTTCCCTCTTTGGCCCGGAGGGATTTGAACCTGCTTCTTCCTTCTCCTAACAGAAGCACCTTAGCCACAAGATAGTAGGCTTGTGACTAGGTGTGGGGTTCCCTCTGTCTCTCCTGCTGGGGCGGTTTCATTTTATTTAAGCCAGTGATTTTCAACCAAGTTTTCATGGCATCCTTGGGTGACCTGACATCCTTTCCAGCCCCCCACAGGATGCCACACAATGTTAGCACTGGTAGGAGAGCAAAGATTATTCACAAGATGAACCCAGAGACTTCAAATAGGAATTGTTAGGATTAAAAACAAACTTTTGGACTCATTGTGGCCTTTCTGAGTTCTTTGCTCCGTGATTTGTAGTCAGAAGACACGAGAAAAAAAAAAGCTAGCGTTTTCTGAGGGGATCGTGAGTCTAATGAGAGGTACCTTGAACCTTAAAAGGTTGTGAATCACTGATTTAACCAAATTAAAGATACATTGGGCTGGAGAGAAATAAAAAAAGCAAGTCTGATTCCCTGGTCTAGTGGTCAGGGCTCTCAGGTATGAGCATGGGGCAGCCTCTGCTCCAAGCATTGCCTGTATTTTTCAATCAACGTATCCTATCAAATACCTAAAGCCACTGGATCAGGTTCAGGAGCTCAGGACTCCTCTCTGTTAGGTGAGTGTCCTCTAGGCTGGGCCAAAGGGTTCTTCATTCTCCCAGTGGCTTGGGTTTATCTACGCTGCAGCTTTCATTGACACATGTGAGCACTGCTTCATCTAAGCAGCTCATGTACCACGGTGTAGCCACAGAAGCATGGAGCTCAGCACCGGCTGCAAACATCCCCCGAGGAGCTGAAACTACTCAGGTAATTGGTCCTCACTGCCCTACCTCGCCAGTGGGCATGTCTGGATAACTGCAGCAAAGGCTGTGAGGTGCCCACATACCGTGGGAACAGAGGATATGCCGGTCCCGAAGGCAGATGGGCAGCCCTGAGCACCTCATGTGCACAGCAGAGAGGCTCTTTGTCAGCAGAGGTGTGATTCATTACTAACAGCTCAAGTTCTAACAGCTCAAGTCGAGCCCTAAGTTATGGTTCAGCTTAAAGCACCAGTTCTGATACATACTGCCTCAAATTCATTATTCAGGGTTATGTTTCAGTATCCTGAAGCCTGGAGGGCTGGAGGTACTGCGTAGGGCACTGCTAGCTCTTTATTTTTACTGCCTCTCCCAGGGGAAATTTTCCCCATGTGGCTAATTCACAAAAACATTGTTACAAAACAAGCACAAGTCCTGGAGCTAGGAACAGGTCTTTATGTGCTGGCTTTTTTGGTTTAGTTTTTTCTTTTTTTCCCCTTGCTTCCCTTTGAATGAAATTCCTGCCAGCTCTAAGGGGGAGCGAGGGAGAGAGTAGAAAGTTTCTTTAACTCCTCCCATTGGAGTCTCTCACGCCCCAGCCCTGCCCAGCCCATGAAACCCAATAACCAAGATCATTCAACAATGCCTTCCCTTCACTAGCTACATCTTTACTACACTTAGGGCTGCAGTGTCTGCTGTGTTTAAAGCAGTCAGATCACCATTTCATACGTGCAGCTCTAAGCTCAGAGGGACAGGGCGAGGGAGAGACTCCCAGCTCATGTGGGCTGCAGCTGTGACAAGGATGGACAGACTGCTTTTCTGGTGCACTCTTCTGGCCTCCTCTGCCACTTTCCAGGCAGTGTCCATGGAGCAAGGTGCTGTGCCCTCGTGCCCACCTCAGTGCCACTGTGAAGAAGATGGCATAATGCTCTCAGTGGATTGCTCAGAGCTGGGACTCTCTGAAGTCCCTGCTAACTTGAGTCCTCTAACGGCTTACCTGTAAGTACAGAACTGTCATTTGCTTTGCAGTGCTTTCCCTAGTGCTGTCTTTGGGACATAAGGCAAAACCCTTCCAGTCAGCTGCAGCTTGCTTAGGCTTGGAATTGTGTGTGTCAAATTGTGCTGAAATAAAATTTCCACTGCAAATTAGAAACAAAACAAACCAGGGGGAAAAAAAAGGCAGCTATTATTTCAGGACCTGCTGAGCCAAGTGCCCCCTCCTTCCCTTGCCCCTCTGCAAATGCTGTTTATATTGTGATGTTATGCATGCTTTGCTTCTTGATTGCAACGGATCAGAGGAGCTGGTTTGCTGGGCAGATTCTGATTGTTTGAGAGCATAATGGAGTATTTATACTGAGCAATTACTGCAAACTGTTCTGGGATCCTTCTGTCAAACATTTCAATAGCTGTGATAGCTCAGGGCTGTGGGGTTTGGGGTGTGGGTTGGCCACCAGCAGAGCGTTGGGGTTGTCTGTTTCAAATGAGTATGACAGTTTTATATAGGTTTTTTCCCTTTCAATATTCTTAATTTTCCAAATGTTCCTCAACCCTTTGCCCAAAAAGGCACCCAGCAGAGCTGAACACTGGGAGGATGTTGCAGTGTGAGGTCTAACACCAAGGATGGTTCCATGCTTTGTGGGTGAGATGTGGACAGGGGTTATCTCCTTGAACTTTCCCCATGCTCAGATGGGGACAGCTGGGAAAGTCAGATGGATGTGTCAGCTTTGCCTAAGTTTGCGTCTACAAGGGTAATATCCCTCCCCACTCCAGGGGACCAGGCTTTGGTTCTGGTACTCCTTGTGAAAGACACTTTCCATATTTATCCACAGCAAATTTAGCAAACGTTCAACACAGGATGAGAAGGATCTTGGATTGCTCAATTTAGGGACAGAATTGAGGAGAATCTATTCAATATGGCAGCTACACTGTA